GCAAGCCGGGAGTCACCCACGATAATCAAATCAGTTATCCCTCGGTCAATCGCCGCCAAGACTCCATTGTTCATGCCGGTGTACTCGGCGATGTTGACTGTGGTGGACGACAGGTACGCACTCGCAGCGATCTCAATGTCCCAATTCGGAAGGCGCCACAGTATCCACGAACAACTGCCATACCCGCCGTATTTAGCCGTCTTCGCTGAGCCATCAAATGACAGCACGCATCCTGCAAAGTCAGCTGGTATTCGGGCATATAGTAGCGCTGGGCTCATTCTTACTGTCGCCGAGTTCTTGAAGGGAGGCGCGAGGTATTTCAGGGACTCGTTGCAATCATCATCTTCCCAGTTGAGCTCAGCGGTGGCAAGCTCGGTCACGGTCTTAGGATCTGTACCACTGAAATGACCTGCGTTCTGCGAAGCTGTTTCTTCATCCACAGCGCGTTCTAACCTGTAGCCAGTTCCGCCGGGGTCGAACACCATCGTCGCCGAGCTCGTTACTCCGATCTCAGTTCCAGTACCTCTCAACAGTGATACCTCTGATAAAGCATAGGTGTCGCCCGCGTCAGGGCCCGTATTCGCTGAGTTCACTGCGATGGCCGATCTGGCCCCTGCGTGCTCAAACTTGTCTCCGAGGTAGATGGTATCATCGTCGTGCTGTCTAACCACTTCCGAACCGGTTTCAGCCTCCATAGTCTCCAACGCTGAGTCCGCCGTAGCTGGGTCGTCGTTCGGCTTTACTCCTTCAAGTAGTAATACCTCCCGACTATCATGGTCCTTCGTCGCGTTGGAGTGCTCATCCGCTGAGTTGGTTGTGACGGCAGAGCTGACTTCCGTGCGTGTAAACGCGCCTTCAGTATAGCTGACATCCTGACGACATGCTGTAACCATGTCCGAGGCACTCTCAGTGTTTAGATCTTCTGACGTCGAGTCTGCCGCCGCCGACTGGATAATGCAGGCTTCCGGTGTACCCATCGCTGAGTTCACCACGGCTGCAGAACTTGGTCCTATTATTCCGTACTTGGCTCGGTTGTCAGCAACGGGTTCAACGTCACATAGGGCTTGTTCCGAGCGTTCTTCAAGGCCTCCTGCCGTTATAGCTGAGTCGTCAGTCGCCGACGCGTCTTCCGTGGCCCTTACTTCACTTGTTCCTTCGACCGCTGAGTTCGTGTTGACGTGGTATGATCTTCTCCTTGGTCTCGCACTTTCATGTTCACGCACTCGCGCTTCTAGACACTGTCATGATCTTGACCTCTAGTGGCAGGCACACACGCACCTCCACAGCATCCACTCCCCAGGGCGAGATGCTCAGGTGTCAGGAACTCTCTGACACCACGTACCCTGCAATTGACGCCTCCGAGCTTGATGATCAAATGCCTGGCACACTCGCGCCCAGCACCGACACGACCCGACGTTGGCATCCACCCGGGTATGACGCTCCAGCATCCGGCACACTAGCGCCTTCCCGACGCTGTTTCCTCGACGGCATCCACGATGTTCCGGTGTCGGCACACTCGCGCTTCTCAACCATCACGCCTCAGATGCCCGCCGATTCTTGCGCTTCCCGTGGCTTGTTGTTTGAGTCCCGACGAGCGCGTTGGACGCCTTCACGTACTTGACCTTGGCATCGGAAAGACACGTGGCCAGTGGATGGCCACAAGCTGAAGGGTCGTGCCGACAACAGCCTTCTTCGCTCATTCGGTCTTTTCCACTCCGTACCTGGCAAGCCTCCGCCCTCCCCCCCGGTTCATCGGACCCAGAAGCTCTAGGGTTAGAGCGCAGGATCCGTCCTGGACACCGGTTCAACTCCGGCTGGGTTCATCGCTCCTCGCGTCTGCTGGGGGTGGAGGTTGTTCCGCACCCGTGCTGCGCCTGCTGCCCGCGCTGCTGCAGCCGTTCTCGTGCCGCGCCTGTTGCCCACGCTGCTGACCCCGTGTTTGTGCCGCGCCTGCTGCTCATGCTGCTGCCCGCGCTCGTGCCCCCCATCCCTGCTGCAGTGCGGTTTGTCCCTACTCTTTGTTCTGATTGTCTGACAAATAATACGTGTTGTTTTGCGTTGTTCAAAGGTTGCCTAACGTGTATTGTTTGCTGTGCTAGTGATGCATCTAACCAACTAACTCAACGACGTCTTGTGTGTAGCGGGTGCAGGATCTTAGATAGCTGCCGACTGGAGCAGACGCTGGTGGCGCTCTATTTGGCGGTTGAGTGCGCCAGCCTTGTGCAGGGCCTGAAGATGCTTGAGGACGGAACTGGACCCGCGCGACGCGATCTTATGCTGAGCCAGGAAGGAGAAATCTTCTCTCTCCGCGCGCAAACCGAGGGCAAGGACGTCGTCGCGGTAGCTGACAGCGCTTGAATCCAGCCCAAATCCGTCAGCCAAGAACAGCTTCATGTACGCAACCAGCATCTTCGCGTTCGAGCGCTGTCGCTTGAGCTTGCTCGCGTGCCATCGTGGCTCATGGGCATACCAAGCAAATCAAGTGGCGTGAAGGTGAGTTGCCCCACTCCTGCGCTGCTTCTTCTTTGGTGTGCTGACTTCTTGCTCTCCCTCTTTTTCACTTGGCTTGTTGCGATTAATGGTCAGGACAGGATCGTTGTTCAGCTTGGCCTCCAGAGCGTCCATCCGCTCGTCTTGCCGCTTCGACATGTCGATTAGGTGCTTAATCACAGAAGCTTGGTGATCGATGATCTTCTGCTCCTTCGTTTGCTGTCCTT